CTTCCAGGAGCCCCTCCCACCCTCTTGACCCCAGCTCGGGGCATTAGTCCGGGTACAGCCCCCCATGTCCCCCCAGTACAGACACTGACCGAATTTGGTGTCAGCAGCAGCCGGATGAGATGAAGGAGCGGAGAGGAGGAGGAGGAGGAGAGCGATGTACAGCGATCCCATCATTGTCCGTCCATCAGTCTAGCAGTCCATGTGTGCGGGAGAAGGACAAGTGAATGGCCGGCGAAGTGGCGGAGGGGATGGATGGGCAGCACACAGTCCCCGGTACCCCTTAAAGCCTCCGATCAGATTCAACACCCAAGACAGCGACCAGCACCGGCCCGCCCACTCTGAAGACACATCCCCCCCCTCGGCTGGTCACATGAACCGGAGCCCGGCCTCTGGAGGAGATGAATGGGGCTCCTCCGGCACGGCGCTGTCCTTCCGCTGGTGCTGATGAATGGAGCCGTGCACACCGGGCATCCTAGGGGGTGCAGTGCCAGGGATCCGTGTTATGTGTGTGCCATCCGATACCACCTACCTATAGCATTGTATATCATCTACTACATGCCCATTAGGGTTACAGTGCCACCTCTCATCTGGTATTATTAGGATGTAATGCCAACTCAGAATGATTTATATACCATCCTACATTATATATATATATATACAGGGCCGGCCTTAGGCCTTTAGGCACCCTGTGCGAGAAAGCTTTACAACTTTAACTACTTATAGCATTTCATGTCTCCTACATGGGAAGACCAATGCCCATTGGGTTTATTGTGCCACCTCTGATCTGGCATTGTGAAGGGGGGCTACATGAGGCTGTAATGCCAGCTCTGAATGATTTATGTGCCATCTACATAACCTACTTATAGCATTTCATATCTCCTAAATGGGAAGGTACCTATTAGGGTTATAATGCCATATCTGATCTGGCATTATAGGGGGGTTACATTATCCTGGAATGCCAACTTGGAAGGATTTATGTTCCATTTACATAACCTACTTGTAGCATTTCATACCTGCTACATGGGAAGACAAATTACTAATAGGGTTACAGTGCCATCTATGATCTGGTATCATGATGGGGTTATATTGTGTTGTAATGCCAACTTGGAATGATTTATGTGCCATCTATTTAACCTACTTTTAGCGTTTCATATCTTCTACATAGGAAGAGGAATGCCTATTAGGTAGACATGTGCAGCCAGAAAAAGTTTGTTATGTTTCGTTTCGGATTTCGTTTGTTTCATTTTTCTTATTTCGGGCACTCTATGTGTTTCGTTTCATATTTCGGAATCGGTTTTGGATTTTACTCGGATTCATTTTGGTGACGAATTTCGGATTCGGATTTCGGTTTCGGAATTCAGATATAGAATTCGGAAATGCGTATATTGGACGATCGTGCGCACGAACGGACGATGTTACGCACGTTCGCAGCAGAATTGACACAGTTGGCATTTCTGGTTGCTGTGCTGTAGCCTTCTTCACTATTAAAGGGACATGAAAATCTTTTCTGAATATTTTTTTTTTTGGGAGCCCCTCATAATGGGCACAGCAGGTGTATAGACCCGGGAACTCAGCACAGGGATGGTGGGAGCCCCTCATAATGGGCACAGCAGGTATATGGACTAGGGAACTCAGCTCAGCACAGGGATGGTGGGAGCCCCTCATAATGTGCACAGCAGGTGTATAGACCCGGGAACTCAGCACAGGGATGGTGGGAGCCCCTCATAATGTGCATAGCAGGTGTATAGACCCGGGAACTCAGCACAGGGATGGTGGGAGCCACTCATAATGGGCACAGCAGGTATATGGACTAGGGAACTCAGCTAAGCAGGGGGATGGTGGGAGCCCCTCATAATGTGCACAGCAGGTGTATAGACCTGGGAACTCAGCGCAGGGATGGTGGAAACTCCTTATAATGTGCATAGCAGGTGTAATGTACTAAATAGCAGTGTAAATAGAAAACCAGTTATAATCAGTGATGTTAACCTGATAAAAGTCTGCCATTTCCAGTGAATCATAAAGATATCACTCTGGAGCAATTGAAAAATATCATGTGATCCAATGAATCCTAATGCCCCGTCACATACAGGTGAAACTCGAATAATTAGAATATTGTGCAAAAGTAATTGCAGTAAGTGCTGCAAAAGGGGCCCAAACCAAGTACTGAGTACATATGCATGCTTGTACTTTTCAGAGGTCCGATATTGTTCTATGTACAATCCTTGTTTTATTGATTGCATGTAATAATCTACTTTTTTTGAGGTTGTGGATTTGGGGTTCTTGGGGTTTTCATGAGCTGTAAGCCATAATCATCACAATTATGACAAATCACGGCTTGAATTATCTTGCTTTGCATGTAATGAGTCTATCTCATATATTAGTTTCACCTTTTAAGTTGCATTAGTGAAATAAATGAACTTTGCACGATATTCTAATTATTCGAGTTTCACCTGTATATAGCGCCTACGGTACAAGCCTGTCAGGTCAGTGTTATATTGGTGGTGTTTTCAGTTGTTCTGTGCCATGTTCAGGATTGTTATTTGCAAAAAAATTAGCTCAACTGGACCTCTGAATATACTGAGAGATCAGATTTATACAGCAATGCATTTTTTCTTTGTTGTGTTTTGTTAAAGTGTGTGACATTTGTTGGCCAGGCAGGCAGTGTAGAATGTCCCTAAGTAATAATCAATAATCACATTCATGGCCAGAAGTATGTCGACAAATTGTTGTCCAAAGGTAAAAGGCAACTCATTTATGTACATATAATTTTAACACTGAGTGAGTAAACCAGCAGTACATATTAACAAAAGTAAAGCAACGCACACAAACACAGGAAAATACAAAATACAAAACTGCCAAATGGCAAAGTGCCCAAATAGACACAACAGTAGGGGGAGTGGCTAGTGTCCTAGAAGCGCTCTAAAGTTTTGCACACCTTGCCAATTTGCTGCCTCATCTGCCGGAACAGATGCTCCATCTCCTGTAATGTGTTCCCCAGATGGCCAAGTTCTCGAATCGCCATTCGAATGGCCGACCTATTTGTGGTCTCAGGTCTTTCTTCTCGTGCTATATATCAACTAAATGAAAGAAGGAAAATACCGTAAGTAAAATGGCTTTTCTGTTTTTGACTACAACAATATATACCCAAGCTGGGGGCTTCCTGAGGCTCCGACTCCCTCTCTAAATTCTCCACATCCAATGTGGTAATCTGCACCTCTTGTGCTACATCATGATCTAAACAATGAAAGAAGGTAAATATAGTAAACCAAACTGTTTACTGTTTTTTTTAATCAAAAATCGTTTCAAATTACCACAGTATATACCTGATGTGGCGGCCTCCTGAGGAACCGTCAGCAAAACCTCCTCCTCCGCTGTGCCAGGTTCTGGGGCACTTGATGTGCTCTGCCCCTGGGCAGCAGAAGATGCCTTCCTGTTTTCTGCCAAATCAAAACAATAACATATATGTAAATATTTCAGAGTATAAAAAAATTATCTATCTATCTAAAATGCATCCTGTATGCAACTCACTACTAGTGTGTTTACTCCTGAGCTTGAGTGCTCTTAGCCAGCATGTGCTTTATGGACTTTAATTATACCTTAACGCAGGGGGTACTCAGGCACTGGACAGGGGCACTGGGGACATGTGAGAAACACATGAGACCCTCTGGTGCAAGCAACAGTTGCTACGTGGCACAGAGCAAACCACTGGCTGACCTAAGGAACAAAGGGCCCTTGTTTTGTATCAGGTCCCACAACCCTGTTTTGACTTCACCTATTCCAAAATCCACACATCCACCTTCCCCCCGAGCAGAAGCCCATCACAATCCCCATCACCCTTGGCTCAGAAGCACATTGCACTAATCCCAACACACCCACAAATTCCACTCTGAAACCCATCGCACTCCCCTGTTCCCACATCAGATTGGATCTCATGGGGCACCCCCCTAGCTTAGTGCCCTTGGAGTAGAATCCAGCCCTTTAGCAAACACAAATTATTGTCTGTATGTATGTATATGCTTCTTCCTGCTGACAAACTTAGGCATGTACCAAACTCGCATTTCTATTAAATTTTTTAGCAATATATACACTATATTGGCCAAAGTATTGGGTCCCTCCCCCTCCAAATCAATGTATTCAGGTGTTCCCATCCCCTCCATGGTCACAGGTGTATAAAATCACCCACATTGGCATGCGGACGCTACAACTAAAATTTTTGAAAGAATGGGTCGCTCTCAGGAGCTCAGTGACTCCACACAATCCGATGGGCGTGTCTGGGTTTGGGGGTTGCCAGCAGAACGGTACTTGCCTGACTGCATTGTGCCAAGTGTAACGTTTGGGGGGTGGGGGGATTATGTGGGGGATTTTGCCCCTTTGTTCCAGTTAAGGGAACTATTAAGGCATCACATCAGCAGAACACGACATTTAGGACAATTTTAATGCACCAAAATTAGTGTGAACAGTTTGTGCATGGCCCCTTCCTGTTCCAACATGACTGTGCACCAGTTCACAAAGCAAGGTCCATAAAGACATGGATGGGGGAGTTTGGGGGTGAAGAACGTGACTGGCCTGCACAGAGTCCTGACCCCATAGAACACCTTTTGGATGAATTAGAGTGGAGACTGCAATTCAGGCCTTTCCATACACGCACTCTTAAACCTTCACCTAAAGGTGGTAGGATGCACTGTCAGAACAACTACATGTCCCATCCTACTACTTAGGATAGGCTCAGAGTGATTTGTTGATGCGCAGAAGGTGGTAACCAACATTTGCCAAACTGAGGGTCATCTTCACTTCTAAGCATCACACAGTCACTCACAACCTCTTCCCAACACCCCACCCCGAACAAACTACAGCACACAGTGCCTTCTTCCCATAGACAAACTCCTGAACCTTCACGTAAAGCCGGTTAAATGAAATGGCAGCAGAACCACTGTACATGTTCCATCCTACCACTTAGTAGAGGCTCAGAGATACTTGTTGATGCGCAGGTGGGAGCCAATATTGGGCAAGTTGAGGGTCATCTCACTCGTATGCAGAGGCGTATCTACCGCAAGGCAAACAAGGCATTTGCCTTGGGCGGCACTTTCCAGGGGGCGGCAAGAAGAAAAAACGCTGTTACCTCCATGACCGCACAGGACAGAGATAGAATTGGCTTACCCGTGGAGTGCTCAGGG